GGTAGTGTGGTCGTGTGGTAGTGTGGTCGTGTGGTAGTGTGGTCGTGCGGTAGTGTGGTAGCGTGGTAGTGGTAGTGTTGTAGCGTGGTAGTGTGGTAGCGTGGTAGTGTGGTAGTGGTAGTGTGGTAGTGGCTTGGTGGTTGGTGCAAAGCACCTGCAGCAGCTTGTTGATGTTTGTTACCACTTTCAAGAGTGCACCGCGCAGAGTCTAGAGTCCAGAGCCTGAACTCTTGAACTCTGAGTTCAGGTAAGCCTTGTGGGCAAGTTGTACCACAACAGCTGGGAGATAATATAGCCTCCTCACTCTGCACTCCGCACTTTGGCCTTTGGAGGCGCTTGGACTTTCAAATATTGACAGAGATGAGATGCCTAGATGCCTAAATAGATGCTGCGCCTGCCATGAGATCTGCACATCGCAGAAAAAAAGTGCCGATGCCCTGCACCTGCCACGAAAGGTTGACTTTGGACCACCAAAACACGAGGCTTCCCTCGCGGCTGCCATGAAAAGTGACCACCAAGTCCGAAAATACGCCCGACACCAAAACGAGAGCGCAGTCGAGGAAAGCGCCTCGCGAAAAGCTTCTCCACAGGAAGAAACATGTTGGCTCGGCCCCAACAGGGGCTCTCCGAAGAAAAGAAGTTCCCATACTTTTAGGGGACTGACCTCTGGTCTCCTAAAAAGGGGGAAGAAAGGCTCAAAAAGTCCTGGTCTCCATGTGGGGTCTTGGAAAGAAGAAAGGCCTTTCAAACATAGGGACACGTCGACACGTCACATAGGCCGTCGCGGGATCGTCGATCCCCAGCTGTAGAGATAAGAAGAGAGGGTCCAAGTCGATGGCCTGGAAGCCTTTGAAGGTGAAACTGGGTGTAGTACACCAGTGAAGATTGCATCTACAGTTTGGGTGGATGTGGGTGTAGCTTGCATCTACAGTCTGGTGTAGTCTGAGCACTGGAAGATGCAACCTACATACCAGCAAATATAGAAGCAGCCCAAAGCAGCGATCGAAGAAAAGACCATCTTCATGGATCGGTCGTGGGCAACTCTTCTCCAAAGGACTTTGAAACTGCTCAGAAACCCAAAGTGGCTTCAATTAGTTGACTGGGGCTTCAATTGACTAACTGGCATTATTCTCCACTGGGAAACCCAAGTTGACTTGGGTTCAATTTGGGAAACCCAAGACGAATTCAAACTCGGGGTGGCTTCAACTTGAATTCCCAGTCAGCTCTCGAATCGGACAGCTGGATCATTTTGTCGCGGTACTGATCCATGCTGGAGTTCTCCGGGTTGTTTCACCGCTACACCGGTGGGATGAACGTGGGAGCGTACCTCATACAATTTCAGCGGGCCAGCCGGGGTTGGTTCAAGAAATGGCCATACGTTGATGTCCCAATTTCAAGCAGAATCACCCCATGCAGTCCCCCCCCATGTGCCTTTCACACACCTGGGCTGGTCCCACCCACTCCCAGCTCCTTCCACTGCTCCAAGGTCAGGACCGGCACATCTGCACTCCCACGCAGCGCAGAACCGGCAGCCGCAGCTTCCGCAGGACCCGACTCTGCCGCCGAAGCGGCCGATCCGGCGCCACCTGGCTGGCACCAGTCTGACATCACAGTTCTGGTTGGAACCCAGTCTGGCTGGTACCTTCCGTACCTGAATCACGACCGGCCAGCTTCATCGCCAAACAAAAGGGTCAAGACACTAAACTAGAAGTTCCATTTGGGTGTGTATTTCGATAGCGAAACGTCCCACCAACGGCGTTCGGTCCATATTTTCCTTCTTCCAGCGGTGTTTGGGAGGTCTCCGTATTTCAATACACACCCATTTGCTCTTAACTTAATTTAGTGACTTGCTGAAATCGTTTGAAATCTCCTCTTTTCCTGGTCCATTCCCCCACCTTCCTCTTCTTCCCCACCTCCAATCCCGCCCATGCCTGGTGCAGCCGAAGCCGCCGAAGCCGTCGCCGCCTTCGCCTGTTGCGCGGCCTGCTGCGCCGCCGCCCTGTAGCGCTCCACCCGCGCGCGGCCCTGACGACGGGAGCGGCCCGGGCGACGAAGGAGTCGTGTCGGGTCGCGGCGGCGCACGGGTCGAAGGGGAGTCCTGAAGAGGGTCGACGGGGAGTGAATACTTCCGGATCGTCCCCAAGCTCAGCAAATAGCGTCCTCCCCTCTCCACCGTCCGTCGCCCTCGTCGTCCGTCGCGCCGAGGCGCCTCGGGGCCGGCGGGCGCATGGCCCGCGGCGTCCAACCAGAATTCGATCTCATCCGCCTGACACGTCGGACGGCTCGGTCGGTGCGACGACGGAGCTCCTTCGTCGCGGATCGGAGGTGCCGCGAGGTCCCCACTAAGGGAGCGCGGGATGGGGGGGGTTCCTAGAAATCCCGTCCCCAAGCAGAGAGAAAGGGTTGGAACCCGCCAGCCTCAGATCCTTTTACAGTGGCTGGGACTCGGAGGGGGTTTCGTTCCATCAGTCGACTTGTTTCTGGTTGGGACGGGGAGGAAATCCAGGTGGGTGACCTCGAAAAGCATCCAGGTGGTGTCTTGCTGATCATTCTCCCGTTGTCGACACACACAGGCGAGACATGGCGGGCAGTGACGACATCTGCTCAGCTCAGGCAACTGGGCAACTCATAGCGGGCTCTGGACAGGCGACTCTGGGCGTGTGTCTGCAGTGTTCGGTTCTTTTTGAATGCCGCAAAAGTGACTGGCCAGTGCACAGTCTGAGTTGGTGTCTGCAAAAAGGGCTCTTCCTCAAGAGCCGCTTGGCGTGTTGCCAAGAGAAAGTCGGAAGTTGACAAAGAGGCCAAAACCTCCGTTCCGCAAAGATTGAACACGAAGCGAAATAGAGAAGCTGATATTCCGATATTCCTCGGAACCAGCCGATCTCTCGTCTCCGGATCTGTTCACCGAGTCCAGGTGAGCATTGCTGTCACTCTCGCAATCTCTTACTTTGGAAACGTGGAGGTGTCAATCACAAAGCGGTACCTCGGCAAGCACGCAACCCGGCTGGTCCGGCAACTGACCAACTGACGAAGATCTTGGAAACATAAACAGTGTTTCCCGGACTTGGACGAGTTGGTGTAGGATTTCCTGACTTCCGTCTACTCCCCGCAACTGGCAGAAAAGCAGCTCTTTCCGGCACAAACAGGGGCTGGTTTGCGGACGACAAATCAAGACCCGTCAGGCTTGGGGAGGGAGCGTTTTGAGGAGGTCCAAGTTCCTCTCCAACAAGACTCACCTCAAATAAAATGTCAGGACTAGTCATCTGTAGGCAACGCTTTCTACAGCAGTCACTCAGGCTTCCTTTTTGGGTGTCTTTCTTCACGGCAGGTTTCTGCCAAATGGATTGGCGAAGCAATATCTAATATCAGCAATAAATACCAGCCAGGAGTCACAAGGGGGTGCCTATTGTTTGATAGGTGTGCCCCTTATCCACTCACTGCATGGGACTAAAAGCCACCCCTTTGTGACTCCTGAAGACAGAAGACTGCTAACTCACGAAATGAAACTAGTTGAGTTATGAACCCGACAGCAGTTGGCGACCGAAGTGACCAAGTTCCCAAGTTCGTCTGTGTTCGGGGCAGACCTTCAAAGGCTTGAAAGCCAGGTCTGTGTCTGGGCAAAAAAGACAGGCGTTTTTGGACACCGTGAGTTTCACACAGCAAGTCACACGACAGCATGGCGGGCCGTAGGTCACCAACCATAACGTTTGCTCAACCCAAACCTTCACCAACCTTCAGTACCCCAACCTTCACGCAAAGTCTCGACTGAAGATCCGGCCACCAACCGACCCACCAACCGCGTCCGTCCGGCGGCTCCACTTGAGCGCGCCTCACGTCCGACTTGATGGCGCGTTCGTAGGCTTCGTTGACCTTGGCGGGGTCGGCGGGGATGAGCTCGTGGGGGCAGGTGATGCCGTGCTTCGCGCAGAAGTCCAGCATGTCCTGGGTCTCCTGCAGAGAAAGGGGAAGGATTTGAACATGGAGAGCTGAGGTCTGGAGGATTTGGAGATGTTGGAGATTCGGTTGGAGGAGTTGGAGATGAATGAGATGAATGAGATCCCTATAGGATTCGTGGCCAACCATGTTTCTTTTTAGCCTGTACCAAAGAACCCTTGTTTCGCCCAAGGATTTTTGGCACTACACCACCAGTCAGTCCTATTCGAACGGGAGATGAATGAGAATTTAGTCCTGGGATGCAGGATGGATTTTGGAGTTGAGGATGAACACACAACACCCAGGAGACTTCGCCAGTTTGCGAACTTCAGCCAGTTTCTGAACTTCAGCCAGATGTTCCTGGAAGTTCCGTCCCTTTCCCACAGGCCAAAAACCCTGGATGTACAAACCCACAAATTCCAACCACCTCAATTCAAATGATCTGAATCCCAAACAACCTTTGTAATTAAGAATTTGCAAAGGACCTAAACCAGGTCAACCATCTCCAAATCAATGCGACTCGCTCCAAAAAGAATGAAAAAAGAAGACCTCAAAAAAAAAGACTATTCAAAACAAAAAGAATAACTCGTCTCTTAGACTCTCTTCCTCTTTTTCAGGACTTGTCCCGCCTTGATGTTACCGATCTTGGAGCCCGCGACCATCTTGCGCTCTCCCACGATGCCGAAGCCCTTCAAGCTCAACGGCTCGGAGGGCAAACCCACCATGATGAACCTGACCGCGGGTCCCGGTGTGGTCCCGGTGTGGTCCCGGTGTGGTCCGGGGGTCTTCTGCACCGGACCGGGTGGACCGTTTTCGGTGAGGACACGATGTCAACGGTGTCGACTCCGACGTCGGCGAGCCAGCTGGACCCTTCACCTTGGCTCCGGCGAGCCAGCTTCACTCCGGCTCCAACGGCCAGGGGTGAAGGGACCAGGCTATGTTCGGATCCAACCACCCGAACGCCGGTGGAGAGGGGGTCGACACATAGAAGAAAACAAAGGACATGACCTACAACTTGAAGCTCTGGATCTGAAGACTTGAAGACAAAGCTAGATCTGCTCACCACCCAGCTGACCCAGCTCTTGCAACAACATGTCATTTTCGTTTGCTGGGCAGAAGGCGTCCTTCGTCAGGGATGAAAAGAGGGCTTGAAGGTCCCAGGAGCTTTCCAGCATTGGCCAACATGTCCAAGTAGGCACTGAGGTCGTATTGGGCGCTAATGGTGTTAATCATCATGTTGAAATAACCTCAGCTGTCGGCGTGGCTTTTTGGGTCTGTCAGACTGACTGTCCACGGACCTAAAGCCCTGTTGGGGGGCGACCGCGGCTACTTCACGGGTCGCCGAAGACGTCGCGCTGGGACAGGAACCCGGAAAGCGAGCGAGGGAACCTATTTGTATCTGTGCATTCGGGTGCTCTCTGGAGAGACTTTGGCAATCCTGGTCAGCTCGTACCAGATGTGCTATCGCTAGGAGGGGTGGGGAGGGCTTCTAGGATCGCCTCCATTTCTAACACTGTGCTCCAACAGGCAGCAGATGCCTGATGGAGGGCCAGGTGTGATACTCGGTTCGGTTGACGATAGCAAAGTCAGACAAGAGAGATTGCATATCACCCAGACACTCCATGGGACTGCCACAAATGCCTACATTGACCCCCAAAACCACCCCAATTGATCGGCATATGTGGCAGTCCCATGGAGTGTCTGGGTGATGGTACTTCTCCTTGTTTTCCAAGCCATCATAGCAATTTGTTGGGGTATCTCCAAAACCAAGTGTCCCACGGGTCCCACATGGTCCAACTATTCCAACTTTTAGGAGATACCTCCCAACCAACGGACTCGATCACCACTCAAAAACACGAAGGTCGAGCTCAGAAAGCTCTTCTATCTGCAAGTCAAAGCTGTCCAGTGATGCCGCAGCTGAGTGCAGCCGAGCCTCTTACATCTACTAGCCTACATGAAGCCACCTTTCTGTTCCCCCAACCCCACAGAGGACTTGCCTTTTGAACCACCACACCACCACCCCACAGCACCGCCATCGGATGACTGCATCGTCATCCGTAGCATGTGCGTTGGCACGCCCCCGTTCCAAAAGACCTCCGTCTCTTCTGCATCTCCCCCGGTTCCTTCGCCCGTTCGCCCGAAAAACTCGGCGACCTTCGTCGCCTTCGGCGCTTGCTCCGCTCCGCCGAACCCCCCCCGCACCGACGGCTCCGCGGACCGCGCCGCTCCCCTTCACCGACGGCCACGTGGCCCTTCACCGACTTGGCCTCGTCCTCGAGCGATCTCGGGTAGAGGCGACACCCGACAGGACCGAGTCGACCGGGTTTCCCACGGGGTGAAAACGGGTGTTTTGACGCGGGTTCCTTAAAGAGGCCTGAGAGGTATTCCGTCAGAATTTGGTAGAACATTTGTATACACTATACACTGGGTGCCGCAGGTTGATAGGGTTTGTTGGTGGGGCAAGTGCTGATATGTTGAAACCTATGCACCAAATATAGACACCTTTTAAGAACATTGAGTGCAGCAGCACTGGTCTTGCCATGCTTTACCAGGGTCTTTCGCTTGTCTTGAAGCACTCTAGTTTTGATAGCACCCTCTCAAAGTGGAGATCTCATGTGAAGCACTCGTGGAGCTGGGTGGCTCCCAAAGAGGATGCAGCGTGAAGCCAAGGTTGAAAATCCATATGACTGCAAGAGTAGCTCTTTCAGATTTGAACCCCAATAACCATGTTGTTGGATCTATCCTGCAGGCCACTCAAGTGGTTGCCCACCACAACAGCCCCCAGGTAGGAGACGGTTTTTCTAACCATCGCGCATCGCGCCTCATCAGTGACCACCACGACCTTGTCTGCCTTGAGACCCTTCAGCGCCTCTTCCTGAACAAATCTTGCATGCAAAGTGCAAGAACTGTTCATTTTTCGTGGACCTTCTTACAACAGCCATAAGGTCACCATCATCATTGTGAATAATTGAAATCAAAGGGTATACGGTATACCCAACAGAGGTTGAAGGACCCTAGTTCGACTATCCCATAGGTACCCCAGTAGGGTCCTAGTTCAGGTCACTCAACCTCTCTTGAACCTTTAACCAGAAATCAGAGAATCGGTCATGCCTGTCCGGTCGAAGAATCGTGGACAGATTGGAAGGGAACCAGGTCGAACTTCGGCGTCGAACTCGGTCGTAACTCGTGACAAAGTCGAGCTTTGGAACCCACGTGCTCAAGTCCCAGCGATTGTGTTCTTAAATACCTAGCGAATGACCTCCAACCTACCTGTGATGGCCTCCATCCTAGTAGCGAATGGCCTCCAACCCCCAATAGCGATGCTCTTCGCACCCGGAGGCGATGCCCGCTCCGGCCACCGGGTCTCCCCAGCGTCCCCGTCTTCTTGGCGGCGGAGCGCGTGAGCACGGTGACCTCGGCGCCCATGGCCTTGCCGATGAGCACTGCCATGGCACCCAGGCCGCCCAGCCCTGCGACGGCCAGCTTCATGCCGGGCTTCAAGTTGTGGAAGACCATCGGAGCATAGACGGTGATGCCTGATCAGGATGAGAGGAATGGAAAAAACCAAGAGGGCGAAGGCTTCAGAAGAAGAGAAAGAGGAGCTTAGCTTGACTGACCGGGCTAACGGGACTGGTTTTCGGTGGTTGAGGTGGTTCGGGACTGGCGACTGGACTGGCGACTAGGTGAAGTGGATACCCGGACGTCTTCGGAGCTTGGTGGAGCTTGGTTCACTGGGGTGAGTGGGCACACCGAGCTGTGGAGTCATCCATGGTGCCTGAAAGAGCATCAGCTGATGTGCATGACTGGTGCAGAACACTGGGAGCCGAGAGCCCAAAAGCTCTCTCTGCCTAAGAGAAGGAAATCTGTCCAATTGTGGGCTGATTTGTTCCTCGCCTGCGCAAAGCAGTGGGGCGGCACCCGCCATATCCATGCCATCAGGAATCTTCAAGACATAGGCCTCATCAGGGTCGTGGAAATGCATGTCTAAAATTATTCCTGGTCATGGGAACGCCTCAATTGCTTTTGTTGTTCTTTTGCATTTCAGAAATGATCCGCGCTTCACTGCTTCACATGGAGGGGAAAAAAGGGACGATCGCTTCACTTTCTTCCCTTTCTGGCGCCAAAAGGTTGATGTGTGAGCCCCTCTAAGAAGTGGGACCACCAGCCTCTGCTTGCAAAGGAAAAGTAAGTAGTCTTCCGATAGACCATGCCATCCACTTCCATGGGATGCCTTCATGAAAACAAACACCTCCTGATAATATTATACACATGTACCCTGGAAGTCCAAGACCATGTTTAAAATGGTTGATCTGGTTTTGTAGTGTAAAACCCTTCGTAAAACAATGGTGGTCCGGTAAAGGCTAAAAAAAAAATGGTGGTTCCACTTCTAGGGTGTATATAGTATCAGTATGTATCAGTATAGGTGATATAATTTATATGTATATATATTCTTGGAGTGAAACACCTCTTCATAAGGGGGCTTGAAAAAGCTAAAATTTCATCCACCGTCTACATGCGCTTCGCCGCGTCGTCTCCCTTCCGAGTTCCGCCGTTCGTCGCCGGCGTTCCGTCCGTCACTCGCCTCGTCCACGGTGATACTTTGCGAGTACCCGCCGTACGTCGGAGCACCACCCTCCTCATCGTACTCCTCGTGGTCGCCGAGCGGGGCCGGACGTCTGGTTTTGGAAGGATCAACCGTCTTGCTGTTTAGCTGTTTCCTTACCGTGGATGAATGCTGCCTGGGATTGCTTCATCAACTGGGATATGATCAATGTAAGTTTAACATGGGGTATGTTCATTATTCATGTGCGATCAACCCGTTGAACTGATCTGCTTTCTGAATGAACATATCCCAGCTTCTAATGGATCACAAGCAACCCACGGCATACATGGGGATGCTCAACTCAAGTCATTGCACCGCCGATCAAAAAGTGGAGAAACAGCAGGAGCATCGCTCCGAATTGCAATGCGAACACACACAGAGGCAAAGACCAACTACCTGAAGCTCCCGTTGAACATGTAAGATGTTCCTTCTAGGTCACCGGTCGGCAACAAAAACCGTTGGCCTTGCATCAGTGTGTTGTAGGAGTCCTTATCAGTTCTCCGTCTTCATGGGAGCTTCTAGGGAGGTGCAGTCCTTTCTCCTCCTTCTTGGCACACTCTGCTCCACGCAAACGTCACTACACACATATCGCACTGTGCCCAAGGGTGGTTGCTCGGTTCCCCAAACCTCGATCTCTTTCGTAAAGAAACCGGGCGGATCGGAGAGCTTTCTTTCTCAAATCAATGTCGCCCCATCGGTGACCATATGATATGGCTGTGGGTCATGGCAGCACGACACCCTGGTTTTTCCCACCGAACATGAATAGACGACCAACGGGACCTCGGCGAGGTCAACCCACCTATAACCCACAATTCCCGGTGCCATGGCCCACAGCCATATGGTCTATGCCCCACAGCCATCTCTTCACGTATGACCTCTTAGGGAGAGAAACATGCAGACACCACGTTCATCACCTGACCTTAAGATGGCATCGTGGCTCATGGTCCTTCCAAACGTGGAACCACCCACCCAGGGCTCCGGTCTAGTGAAGACGCCAGTTCCGTTTCCCGAACGACCAGACGATGAGAGGCCGAAAAGAGACGCATGAGACATACCCCGCCATACACGTGGTACCTGTGACATGCATGCCAACTACAAGGCCCAGCGCTGGAAAAAGAAGAGAGAGAGAGAGAGAGCAGCCCCCAAGCACTCACTCCTCACAGTGCTTGTAATTGTATCGCCCATTGTAGGTGGCCACCATTCCGGGTTCACAGTAGTTCTCATCGCCGCTCTTGCAGGCGCTGCACTGGCGGCAGGAGTCCACGAAGACGCCGACACCCACCTTGTCTCCTTGGGCAAGCTTAGGCAAAGACCAGAAGATGGCAACTTCAAGTTGCCCCAGAGTCCATCGTGATCCTCAAATAGGTAGAAAAGTAGATCACATTAGACCACTATCTATTTGGGGATCACTCTTGTCAGCATTTAGATCACTATCTATTTGGGGATCACTCTTGTCAGCAGCTAGCAGCTAGCAAAGTGACTGTAGCTCGAAGTTCCGGAACAATGTCCGCACTTGGATTTAAAATTTAAACCCAACCATCCTCTCGCGATGACCAACTGAATCCAGTTGTGACGAACTCGCTCACGAGATGAGCCGACAACGCACGGGAATCTACAATAGGCGTCGAGCGCCAAAAAAAAGAACAAACCAAACTGTACACGACACGGGGGTATCCCCGATAGGTTGACATCCACCAACCAAAGGGCATCAAAGGCCATCTACGCTTAGTTGATCCATGTGTTGCTTCCTCTCTCCCTAGGCTTTTGGTATGTGTGAGTCAGAATCACTTGGGGAAATGCGTGGCTCTGGGTGCTTGTTGGAGAGCGATGTTCCAGAAGTATCCAGCTTTTCGATTCTTGGGATTGGCTACAGCTGAAAACCAGGAATCGGACCCCAAACAGGTTGGGGAACATGTGGTTCCTCTGCTCGTCTTCGCAGGTATCCCCCGGTGCAAACCGTGTTGATGAACAGCATCCTGCGGTCACAATGAAGGACTCCTAGGAGTTGGTGCGGTATGAATCTATAAGACAACAGTGGAGTCTCCTCATGGTGCGTATCTCAACACCCAGCCAGGACCCAGCCACAGGTACAAGTGGTGGGCTTGCCACGAAACCTTGTCATGGAAGAACAGGGCTGGCAAAGTCAGAAATCGTTGATCCCTAGCCAAACGATACACTCCCCTGCTCAAGGATCAGTCTCTCCGGGATTCGTTCATCCACTTGTCTTGCCAAATCCACCGTCGCTGTCGGCTCCTCTCCTTCCGCGAGATCCGCTCACCAAGTCCATCCTTCCCATCCTCTCACCTTCCAGACCTCCATCCTCCCGGTGGCCGACCTTCATCGGAATCCGCTCCGTGTCGCTCCGGACGCTCCGGCGTCCGGACGCTCCGTCATTCCGAGCGTCCGACCTTGAACTTGGTTACGCCTTCGCCCACGGACTCCACCACGCCCGCGATCTCGTGACCGGGCACCATGGGGAAGATGCCCTTGCCCCACTCCTGGGGAGCGCGGACGGTGCGCGAACACCTCGCGCGCGAGGTACTCAGGGCGAAGAGCGAAAAGGAGATGGGACCGGTCCGAAGCGTCCCGGTCATCGAGTCCAACTTCCCGGTCCAAAGAGGGGGAAGGTCCAAAAGAGAGAGAAAGCGCCAAACAGAAAGCGCGATGGGTTGGGAACATGCTTCGGCCATGTTCGGCCTTTTGGCAATGGCAGAAATGAACAGCATACTCGCATACTCATCCACACGCGGTAGATGCTTGTCCCACTCAACCCGGGCTCCTCACGTGCCTGATGGATGTCAGAATGGCAGATACCGGCGTACTTGATGCTGATGTGAACGTCCTGCACGACGGCAGCTTTCAGAAAAACAACGATCTTCGTCGCCTCATCGGTCAGTCTTGGGCCCGGGGGTGAACATTGCTGAATCGCCACATCGGAGTCGTTGCTCTCGCTGGGTGGTCTGAAATCTTCGGAAATCTCAAAAAGTCCGCTGAAAAGGGTTGGATCCCCGCCGCACCCAGTTTCGCGGGAAGGTCTGAACAGCCAGAAAATGTAACAAGAAAAGAAAGACATGCCCACAGGCCACAGGCCAGCACACCAGGAATTGACTATACCCCTCGCCTTGTTGCCAACACGGCGGCGTTTGATGCGGTGCAAGGACAAAGGGGCCCCACCACTCATCGCTGCGATGCATTGGCAGTCCATGGCGAGGATGTTTCTACCACGTCAAGTGATGTTTACTTCGCGCAGTCCAGTTTTTTTTCGGGTCTACCGTCAGTGAGCCCAATGGCCGAGCCCAAAATGGCCAGAGGTTGGGGACAGCTGACCTGGGGCAGAGCTCAGAGCTGGGGTCTTGGGGGGCCAAGGAAGTTGGTGAAAGCGAAGCAGCAAAGCTCGTTTTCGGCATTCTTTGGTTGGAAGGGATTCAGCTCCCCTGATCCCCCCTGCCAGCGATGCCACCTGGCCTTCGCTGCGTGGCGCAGCTACCCTCCTGCAAATTCACCATGTAAACTATGGGGTGGTAAATGAGAAGAGTCTTACAAGCATCCACGCCCTGGAAGATGAACATGGAGCCTGAAAGCCACTGGGTTGTAGAGGAAAATCGTCTTCCAGTCTGGTCCATGCCAAGCCCGGTTCCATGTGGGTCTCGCTACGTTCACGGTCCAAGTGAACAAATACAGGAGGCCACGCGATGCCCACAACCCCACCTGGGCCGTCAAGGCCTCCAACCGCTTCATGCGCTGCTGCTTCTCGTCCTGCGCTGCGGCGCTGCGCGCTGCTGCTGCCCAACGCCCCGGCGATTTCTCTCACAGCAGAACTTGGGCAAAAACATAACAAACAGAATAGCAGAAAGTCTAATATACGTGTAGTATATTACAAAAAGAACGTTTGTATCAATGACGTTGTGCCAGGAAGAGTTGTCTTTGGGCCTTCTTGGCTGCTCTTTCACGTCCGTTTTTTCCCTCAGCCGCCTTCAAGCGTACCGCCTCCGAGGCCAAAGTCTCTGCCTCATCTCGCGTTGACTGGAGGGAAGGGGACGAACATGAACGTGAACAAGAACGGAGATGACACACAACAGAAACGACCAACCCAAAGAGTCTGGGCCGGATTCGGATTCTTAGGGAAGAAGAAAACACCCAACCGCCCAACCTCTGGGGCAAGTTTTTGCGAACATCTCCTTGCTGAGGCAGGACATGGGTGTTCCCATTGCCACTTGTTCGGAACATCCATGTGGCCGGGCGTTCGTACGCCAACGGCTCCAAGGACTTCCCACCGGACGGCGGACCTCCACCAAACGCTCCACACGCCGTCGTCTCGACGGACGGGGAGGTGCCCAAGAGAGGTCAAGTAAATGACCTGATCTAGGACCCGTCACTTCATAAACCTTTGGGATACAATAGTCTAAAATGTTCTGAAAACCTTTGTGGGTAGTTGCTGTCCATTTTTACATGTTCCTCTACAAACAGGTTTTCCACTTTCGTGCAACATGACTCCGAGCGTATTGTCTTAAAATTCTTCGAGGGGAAACATAGACATGACCATGAAAAGAGAGACCAAAAAGGATCTGCATGTGGTACGACTGCCGCATGGCCACATGCAAAGTTGGATCCATCGAACTGTCCACTTTTCAAAGCTTGAAACGCTTCGGTTCATGGTAGATCTCCAGGTGATTGATGAAGTTGATGGACCAAGCCAGCAAAAATATTTTTCTGAATTCTGATGCCCCATGCACCACATTGGTTGTCAGGAGTTGCGGGGCACGACTCGTGGTGCTTTCTTGGAAAGCGCCTTCTTTTCAGGAAATCATCCTGCTCCGCTAGCAGAAGTCTCACATGGATTCTAGGCCAATGAATGTGAGCGTAGCGGAGCGGGGCCGGCGTGTTGCTGTTGAAGGACTCCGGTGAGTGGTGGGCGATGTTACTCAGCCGTCACATTGATAAACACTTGCCAAAGACCTGACGCTTCAATGACATGTGTCTAAATTCTTCTCTTCTGGGACGGAAAAGCGTTGGCTTTGGTCCCGGGTTTGACTCCGCGCGTCCGGACGCAATTTGGTGCCCTTTGGATTGAGGCGGCGCGAGGCGGTACGGCGCGCGCGGCGCGCGCCGCCACCCGCCGAAGGCGCCCTCCCACCAGACGTGGGGGCAGGTCGGGCCTCGAGCCGCCGACCAAGAGCGGACATTGACTTTACGAGGCACCTGGAACCTCGCAGGCCCCTGAGAAGAGCATGGGTAGATGCAAAACTTGTCGAAGTGATGTAAGCTGGATCAACATATCGATCACTTCAAGATGGATATGTTGATGGATGTGAGGTCATTTTCCAAGGCCCGTGGTGCAAGATATGCTGCCCAAGTTGCTTTGCGTTCTTAGCATTTTGTGTTTTTGCTTGCTCTCCGTCTTTTCCTCTTCAAGAGAAAAAGAAACAGACATGGTAAAAGGAAGAGAAAAAGAAAGAGACAGAAGCAGGACGAGAAAAAGGAAGAGAAAGGAAAAAGATAAAAAGACAAGCTGCGACTGCACCTGCCCTGCTTGCCTGCCTGGCGCGCTCTTAGGCGTCAGGCCCTGGCGTGGGGACGTTCGGTGGCCTGCGGGCCCACCTCTATCGGAGGCCACGGGGAGAGCGTGGAGAGAGAAACAACGCAGGATGGATCAACACACCATCCACATAGCTCCAAGATTGCTCAATATAGCCTCAACATAGCTCCAAGGAAGAAAAAGAGTGGAAGGGAAGAGAAAGTGAAAGGGAAAAAAGAAAGGGAAAAAGGAAAGGAAAAAAGAGAGAGCCAGAGAGAGAGAGAGAGAGAGACAGAGAAAGAGCCAGAGCCAGAGACAGAGCAAGAGGACGAGGAAGAGAAATACCAAGAGGAAGTGGAAGAGAAAGAGAAAGGTGGGAGGAAGAGACAGCGAGAGAGAGAGAGAGAGAGAAAAAAAAATGAGAAGGAGAAAGAGAAAGAGGAAGAGAACGAGGAAGCGGCAGAGGAAAAGGAAGAGGACGAGGACCTGCACCTGCCCCGCTTGCGCCAACAACAACAACAACAACAACAACAACATCAATCTCAACAACATCCGGAGGGACCACTCAGGATACCCACTTTGCCGTGCCCCAGGTGGCCAGCTCGCTCTGACCCCTGTGCACTTTTACCGCCTTCCATCGCAGAACCGTTGAGAAAGTGAAAGAGGAGGCGACGCAAAAGAAACGGAGGGCAAGCGCAACAGATACCGCCTGCACCTGCCCTGCTGGCCTGCTTGGCCCGCTCTTAGGCGTAAGCCTTGAAATAATATGATCGAATGTGGAGCCCTTTTGGATCCTTTTGGGGCCACTTGTAGGGTTTGGGACATGGACAATCGGATAATTTTGTCCCGCCTCTACAACAGACGATGTACTGGTGATCCCGGATCATCCTGGTACTGCATAGTCGTCACATAGCCCTGGCCTTCAAAGATCTTCAAAGACCATTAAAAGAATGCTTGACCTGGTTTTGTAGTCTAAAATCCTTAGTAGAAAAATGATTCTGCAGTAAAGACAATTTAAACTAGTTGTCAAAAGGAACCATGCTTCTGGGAATTTCGGGTCGTACCCTCATCCACTACCGATGGTCCTCCTGTCCGACCTGTCCTCTGATCCTCGCTCAACAGACCGGTCAACGCCTCAAATCTGATGGACGAATATGGAAGAAACCCGTCTCTAAGAGTCAAGGCAACTTGTAGGTGAACCTCCAAAACCGAAGGGAGGGGCCCCCGCAAGTACCGAAACAACCACAATTCACATCTATCGGCCCCCACTTCACCCTGTCAAGGACGAAGGTGGTGGAGCGTTTCGAAGGTTTCCCCGTCGATCGCGCCTCCATCTTCCGCAGCTCGATCCTCAAGGCTTCGCCCAGGTTGATGTGTCAAGAACCGGAGGGTCGTTTATACCGGAGAACGGTTCGGATGGACCCCCGCGTGTTTTAAGGGGTGTAGCAAGAAGTGCAATTTGGGGAGCACGGAAACCGAAGCCACAAAATCTCAATCATGATGCTATGTTGTGCTTCCTGAACCTATCAGTATGACGGGGTGCATCTCTGTCGGAAGTGGGACAGTTTCAATTATATAAATTAGAATCATTCTCCAACCTTAACATCCTGAATGTCTGGTCTTTGCTGCGCTGCTAAGCCTTAAGCACCTCTTGGACAGCAGCGCAAAAACGGTCCGGCGGCGCGGGCTGCAGAATTCAGGGTAAATATCCAACTGGCAACCAACTCAAGCAAATGTTCAATATACACTCCCTGAAATAATCATGGAAGTGGCAAATGGCCCCTTGAAAGTTCCTCTACAAATAGATAAATAGGTGGTGCCATCCCCTTCCATGTGAGTTTTTCGAGTGTAACTCTCTTCTACATGAACATGCTCTTGAGATCTCTTGAGTCTTGAGATGCTGTGGATGCCATGAATCCATACCGTTTGACGCTACAACACAAACAAGCCTCTTCAGCCTCCCCCGCACACAGAGCAGAGCAGCTGACCCATCCGAGCGGCTCGTTGGCATTGACCACGCAATTGGTCTGCAGCTCTTGAAGTTCCGCTTCCATCTCGGCGACTTCCTCCTTGGAGCACAGACTCAAGAAATCGGGAGAGAGCCAGGGAAGGATTGACCTGATTGTGATGCTGCGGAACCAAGGCCCCAGCGGAAGAATCCGATGCTGTCAGGTCTTTCAGCGAAAGAGTCCACAGGTTTCCGCCCCTGAAGCAAATGGGTTTACCCCCCACACACCACACCAAGCACCGCATCCGGCAGCTGACTATAAGTCTGCCAGCTCCTTTCTCATCCTTCTCATGCTGAAACACGCCCTCCTCCCCAAGCCAAGCCAACCACCCCGCCTGCTGGGTCCCTCCTTCCATCTAGTCCGCGCGCGCATAACTCTCGCCCCACTCTCCTCCTCCCGCCCTCCTTCTCCTTCCTGGCCTCCACCTCAGGGAGCTTGGCGAGCTGGGCGCGCAACTCTGCGATCTCCGCCAACTGAGCCTGCACGTCAGACGGGTCGCGTGGGTCAGACGGGTGGTCAGACAGGTCCTGGGTCAGACCCCACCGGGCTGAACTCGAGGCGCCCGACACGGCGTGGAGAGATGCCAACAACGGAAGAAATCCTGCATGCTGTGAAAGGTATGAAACGGGTGCGGGACGGCCCCTGCCCTTTGCCCCCGCCCTATCGCGGCGCCTGTCCCTCGGCGCGGATGCGCCGCAGCAGCATCACCGGCACCTCGCAGAAACCGGAGGCGACCCCGTCGCTCTGCGCGAGGAGCTCTGCGAAGGGATCCTCCTGACGAGCGACGAGGAAAAAGGGACGCCGGGCGCTTCGACACAGGCGACGAGTTGCTCATGCGAAAGGATTCTTGAAAGGTCAGCAGGCAATTGAGTAGCAATGTACTTCCTTCTTTTTAACGAAGGCATCAGTTCGATGTTTCTCAAGGACCGTCTGGAGACCCTTTAGCCCCCCTTTCGTCGAGGCGCACAGCCCCCCAGGTAGCTGGACCCCGCCGCCGCGGACGCGCCCCTCACTGCGACCGATGGGTTGGGCGCAGCAGACGAGGCGGGCGGAGGGCCTCGCGGGCGGAGGGCCGAAGCATCGAGTCCAGCGCTGTTCCAGTGGTGGATCAATGACTACCAGCTGGGGTAGTGAACGAGGTGTCAAAACGGATGTTCTGGGGATCATTTTGATGAAGCTCTTTTGGAGGTGGTTGTTCCTTCCCCAGAGACAACACCAAAACAACACCGTGCGCACGTGTACAGAAACATTCACATGATTTCACATTGGCCTTTGGGGCACATCGTTTCTAACCCTCACCCCATCGAATTGGCTCTGGTTGAAGAACTATGAACACTTGGAGTCAATCCATGAGTCTGGAGGTCGATTCAAGTAATCTGACCAATAGTCCCAGTACGGTCATTAGTGAAAGTTCTCGCTTTGTCACATCCTTTGTCTAGCCCGCCCTGTTGACGCAGCTTTCAAGAATCCCTATCTAGAAAGTCCTTTCCAGCTTTTACCACTTACTAATCAATCTTCCAGACCACTCGATGGCCACTCGCTCCTGCGCCTCGCCAGGCTGCATCGCTGTTGGCCCACTGCAGCAGCCTCTTGGCCTCTGCCTCCAGATCTGCGGGCACCTCGCGGTGTGGCCACGGACCACCGTGGGTGGCCGGACACGGCGTGTCCGGCTGCACCGCCAAAGACGGCCGGACGACGGTGGGCGACGGTGGGCACGTGACCCTCGAGGCACTGCGGTCACGTGGACCTCCAGGAATCTGTAGGAGAAGACAGTCCCTGCGTTTCACCTTGTAGGAGAAGACAGAATTTCTCTGAAGCAACACAGCTTCGAGACTTTACGTATCCGGGATAGTTCTTCTCTTGCATCGTTGGGCGAACAACTATGAGTTTGGGACCTAGCTTTTCGAGCCAACCTGATGGACTTTTGCGCAGAAAACGCCCGGTGAGACATCCGTCGCGTGCGTGTCCGTGGCCTGTCTGGGCCAGCGTTGATCCAGAGGCTCCATGCTGCCATGGCTCCGCACCGGAGGCTGCACACGGCGCGACGCCCGCTGGTCGCTGGTCACGTGTCGGACTTGTGTGCCAGCTTGGTCGGGATGAGAGGTTCAGATCTTGACCGGTGCAGAAGAAAGGAGCTACACTCACCCCGGCAATTGACCAGTGGAACCTGAGAATTGACCGGTTTTGACCCATTTCTCTTCTTCAGTGGAACCTGGTCCATGTGAATCTGGGGTATGTCTTCGTCTTGATGTTCCCAACGAAGCATGGCGTAAGAAGCATGTTCCCCAATCCAGAGAATGCAGATGTGGAAACGTCTGACAAACCAGTGGCAACCGCATCATCATGGCCTTCTTACGAGGTAAACTTCAAGTGTATGAGGTATCTGAAAAACCTATATACTAAACACCTCTCCCTTGTTCCTTCACGCTTAGACCGTGAACACATGGTAAAGCATCCTAAATCATTCACTGGAGTTGGTCAGATCCTTACATGTGAACCACCGCATGAGTGTATGAGTCGATTGCATGAATCAAATGTTGTCTCTTGCTGGTTCAATGTGGCAAATAATCTCCTGTAGGGTTGACCAAGCAGCTTTTCAATGGCTAAAGGACTCCACAAAGAATCACAGACACAAACACCATTCATTACCCGGTAACTACCCGCGGCAACCACTTTCGGCCACCACCACGACCATGCCCCCCGTCATTTGGGCTCTGCTTCTTCTCAGCTTTTCCCAACAGACCGCAGACCGCGGACCGCGGCGTTTTCAGCGAAGTGGTGGAAACGATTTCTCAAACGATTACATCGAACGGAGCGGAGCAGGAGAGACCGAACTCGACCTGAACCAGTCGTCTCCGCGTCTCCGCCGAATTCATGCTCGATGACCCGACCAGTTTTCGGGTGCTTCGGGTGCGCTGGGCCAGGTGGTTGCAGGTGTTTGAAACCAAGAGCCCATGGGGATCCATGAAAAGGGGTGTCTTCAACAGGGGTCTTTTTCCGGGTGGACTGGTCTCGTTTCCTGAAGGAACCCATTCTTGGTTCCCTTCGAACCCACTGGTCAAACCGGCAGGTCTCCCTGTGAATAGACGTGCGACGTCTCCGGCAGGTGCACCCGTTCACGCTTCTGGCCCCTGGCAGGCAAAGGCACCCAGGGCGGCCAAGCCAGCGCCAGTCGCAGCAGAAAGGGACTGAAGATACAAGGTTTGATGTTGGAGGATTTGATGTTTGGCTCCAGCAAAAAGGGGCTTTGGATGTTGAATCTCTTTGAAAAACCAATCCTGGAAGCCGCTCGCATAGGTAAGCAGCCTGCTGGGACTCCAAACATCCAGGGAACTGATAGACCACGTTCGAACAGCTGCCGCTGTACACCCCTAGCATACTAGACACATCGATCGTTAGGGCCGTTTGGGAAGCGACGAAGCAGCGATTGCTCTATGGGGTGTGAAATGTCTGACCAGTCTTCCAGATCTATTTGGGCAAAAGACCATCATGCACATGAAAATCTTCAGGACAATCCGCATTCGTCTCAGACCTCAACGGTTCTAATCAATTCAAGAAATCCAAATATGTCCACTCAATCAACAAAAAGTCTCACACCTCAACCAGTTCTAAACAAATCAAGAAATCAAAAAACATGTCGCCCTCTGTTGAAGACAGTAAAATCCCATCTAGAGTCATCAGTTGGGGCGATCCACAGAACCCTTTGGTTTTGTCTTCAGCTTCGCGGCCTCCGGTGCTTCTGCCACCGCCTCACTGGCGCGTCGCGTCGCTCCGCTTCACTCGGCGGGTGGAGGAGACGCCGTCTCGCGCGTCGAGGAGACGCAGGAGACGAGCCATGAGACATTGGGACGGGTCGCGACGGCTGAGAACTCGGCCAATCACCCTTTCAGAAAGCGGAAGATCTTCTTGACATGTCTGTACTGGCTTTTTTTTTGGGAAGACGTCCAATCCACCGCTAGTTGTTCAAGAAAGAAGGAGAGTCGGCGCTTTTGGGTTCGCGGTTCGCAGAGCGTCCGCTTCGCCGGACCTCAAAAAGACATGCAACCATGATGTGTTTTTTGTGTGGATCGGTTGCCCCCGAGGCTTTCCTTCCCGGCCAGATAAGCTTTCTTCCAAAAGATGAGTATGAGTCCAGTATGAGTATTTGTGCTCCTGGCCCATATCCTCAGAAGGTGGTTAGACCCCCCAAACCCACCCCAACCACCTTCTCCGGAGGTAGTTGGAGCCCTGGGGTATAATATCCACGAATCCTTCGAACAGCCATTGGAAATGCCACCCCACTCTACAGTAAGCAAATCCAGGAGACGAGTTTACCCTTGGGAGTAGTCAATGGGTAGACCACCCTCTGACTCTGCTACTATCATAGGGTCAAAGCAACCACTACTAAGAGAAGAGGAGATGAGTCAGTGAGGCAGCAATTGACATGCAAATGATGTTATTGTTGCACCATGGTCATCTCAACATCAGCTTCGCCGATTCCAACTCTGCTACCCATTCGCCCACCTCCAGTTGATGCCGCGCAGGCGCGAAGCCCACGCGTGGTCGCTCGCCGTCGGCGTCGAAGACGGTGTAGTACCTCGTCGGTGGGTCGTCGCCGGTGCTCCGGCGAAGATCGTCGGAGTTCTGTGATCTGTACCCTGGGAGTCCAAGACTGGTTTTATAAATTAATGTGTTCAACTAACAAGAAGCTACTAATTAGTAGCTATAAGTACATCGATACTAGCAACAAGGGCATTACTACTAGCAACAAGGAGCTACTAGTAGCGATGCCCTTGTTACTAGGTCTGGAGTAGATGACCCAAATCATTCGCTCACTGCCATGGTTGTTCTGCCACCGACCTCCAACCACATCCCCCAAACCCACATCCACCAACCCCGCAACCCGACAGACCCCAGTCCGCCTCTGTAAGACCGGCTCGCCCAAGATCAGCGTTCGCTCGTGCAAGGGCGGTGGCAGATCGATATGCATCACCATCGGCACCTGTGAGAGGACGCAGACTCGGTCGCCGGACGCACGGTTGACCCCCGACGGGTCAGACGGGTCAGCTGGTTTCCTCCAGTTTTCCAAGGCTCCCAGCGCAGGTCTGCTCTCCGGCAGGATGCACGGCGCCTGCATGGACGGCCAGTGTCGAGTCAAGGAATGCATGGACGGTCATGGGGTGAATGGCTCAAGCGTGGATGCCATCCAAATACAGCACGGATGCAGCATGCAGATCCTTTCTCTTTGGAGGTTTGTCCAGTAGGATGCATCCCTATCTTGGAAAATCTAGGAAAGGAGGTATTGCCCTTGGCCTTCTCCTTGCACTCCTTCCAGAGTTGTTTGGCATGGTAAATCGAGGCTTCCCTATGCCAAAGACTCATTCCAGCGCGAGGCCGTGCGCTATATGAGGGCAGCCGCCTAAACCTTCACGTGGGAGTTGCAACATGTTCTTTGCAATTGCAAGGCGTCAGCAGCATGAAACGAGACCTAGGGCTTCATCAACCAGCGTGGTTCGCTTGACCAACTTCACCTGCATCTGTTGAAATCTCCACAGCAAATAGACCTATGCATACCTATGCATACCTACGACTCATATACCGGAATCCAGAACTGCCAAAGTGGCGCCACATCTCCAACTCCTTTGGACTGCCCCCTTCGATCCGTGCCTTGAGCTCCGGCTCCAGAGCTCTCTGGCTCCGATGCCGCATCCTGATCGAAGCGGACGAAGCGAAAGAGCGAAAGGCCGTCCGAACACGAGCTGAGCCTCTGAGAGACGAGCTACGAGCCGTGTGTGTGTGTGTGTGTTTGGCTGAGCCAGTGTTCTCTTCGAAATAGTTTCCTTGGAGCCGTGAGTGACAGGCGAAGCAGGCGAAGGGGTCGGACGGAGGGGTCAGACAAGAAATCTGAAAGGGGGTGACTCACGGTTGACTCCCTCAAGTTCCGAAAATAGAGGTGAACACAGACTTTCCGAATTCTTGTTTAGTGGGGTTGAAGAAAAAAGATGAAAAAAGAAAGAAAGTCTGGTTGAAACTCAACCATTCCTGATTCCTCCAATTCCTCCCCCAGCCCTGTATCTGTGGACGCCGGACCAAGGAGGGGAAGAACATGGAAGAACATGCCCGTTTGCGGGGTGAGGCATAGACTCTATGCCAACCCTGCATCCGCTGCCTGCGCAGAGTCTTCTGCAGAGTTTCGGCTCGTCTCGCCCTCGTCGTCACCATCTGCGGACGATCGAAGAAACCCGCGCTCGCGGGGGAACGTCGGAGGGTGGAAATCGATCGTTGGTGGGTCGCGACGATCGGCTTTCATGAGAAGACCCCACACGGCAAAAACCCACTGCTAAGCTGAAGATGAGCTGAGAACCTATTAGGTGCAGAATCAACTTGCACTAAAAGAGAAAAACATCCTGGATTTGGAGTAGGGAAAAACTGTCCGCAAAGGTAAGTAAGTTGAAAATGACGTGCTTGGACCCTAGACAAGCCCCAAGACCATATGATAGAAGATGAAAAGATGATGGAACCATATGGCTGTGGGTCAAAACCCACCTACCTGGTAGGACTGGTGGACTGGTCGGGCCTACCTGGTGGGTCACGACCCATCCAACCCTTTGGCATCCTTGCTGAAAGTACGTGGCCTCTTCCACATGACCGGACTTGAGTTCCTCCCCCGCCAAACCATATGGTTTCAGTTTCACGTGACATTCTTGATCAATTCATGGGGTCAACCAAGGTCCCCCTGTGCATCCCTGTGCCATGACTCACAGCCACAGCCATGACCCACAGCTCTCCCCTCCATCCCTCCATCCTCAACCCCACCTGACCGCCCCGGTGCCGGGCTCCTTGGCACCGAGCTCCCCCGGTGCCGGCGGAGAGATCCCGGCCTTCGTCGAGGAACTCGAGCCTGGCATAGTCAGTGGGATCCAGGACGACCTGAAGCACCGGACACCGCGACCACCAGGCACCGGGCTCCGGACGCTTAGAGGGACGCTCTCATTTCTCGAGCCAGCTCACGTGCCTTCTGGAGGCTAGGGGAGTGGAATGAAAAGATGGATGAGGGGAGTGGTTGAGGGGAGCCAGCAAGTACCTTCTGCTCATTGAACATCCCTATATGTGTCATGTTTGTAGCTTGGTGGTTCACCCAAATAGACGAAGCAAGTGCTGGCGACGAGCAGAAACAGAGTGATGGTTTCACCATAAGAAACATCTTGACCAGCTTCTTCAAAGTGACCCCCTTTAGAGTGCCATCCAGTGACCTTTTACAGGCCCCTTTGTGACCTCAAAGTGGGATGTCAAGTTCGGTCACTTTGAAGAACCAGGGACTTCTAGCTTTCTCTTTCCCAAAAACTTCCGTGACTTGACTCACTTGACCGAGTCACGTCACTCCTCCACCACTCGTCACGAACTAGGGATCAAATGGATTGGACTCTGGGTGACCAAACCCCCCCAACTCCCCGGTTCCACCCGAAAAAGGCACCCGAAGCCGCGAGTCTGCCGCGTCCCCCGCCGTGAAGTTGCCCAAGTCGATCTCAAGGACAGGGCCCGAGGAGCGAGTTCCACAAGCGCCTGGCTGAGAAAACACCGCAGAGGAGCTCTGGACCAGGTCCGTCAGGTATGACGCGAGATCCGTGCGAGATCGGGCCGGGCTACAAGCTTCTTTTTAGTTACTTTTGGACGCCTTCCAACATGTAGATCTGTGCATCACCCCCAGGGTGAATCCATGTGCATAGCATAACGTATCTGGTGATGCGTGATCACCTGATAGAGGTGTTTTCTACTCACACGATGCACCGAAGCGAGAAGGTTGGCAGATCATCCTGAAAGGAGCATTGAGCGTGTACTTTGCATTGAAGAAATGCAGAATCCAATCACCTGTGGACCTCACTAGCTTTAACTTTAAAAAAATACAAACTTGCAAGTGTTCTACAAGTGTGTCTATCCATGTTCCATTACCAGTAGACCACTCATAGAACTTCTACTCCACATCCTTTACTAGTCCACCAAAACTCCTCTGTTCGCCTCACCCAGACCGGCTCAGCCCGTCGCACCAGCCGCCGCACAGCTCCTGTTTCTGCTCCGCCGGTGCGAACCACCGCGGCACGGTCCGCCCCGCGGCACGGGCGACACCGGCGGACCGTGAAGGACCTTGACCGGCGGGCGTGGTCCGTGGGGGTCCGCCTGGATCCGCGTTCCACCGCGGCCGGGCGGAGTCGAGCATCAGGTGAGTGGTCTTGCTGCGTCCGGGTGCGAAGACACGACCGGGTCTGCTGCAAAAGCCATTTCTGCAAGAACGTCCAACGTCAGCTACTTTTGCCCTCTGAAATCATCGACTGCCACTGCTTCAAGCCGGCCAAGAATTCCTGAGATCTTTCAAGAGACGCACAAAAACGACTACTTTTGGCAGATGCGGTAAAAGAGGTTCCGAAATATGCAGAAAGAATGTCCAAATATAACACAAATAATACATGTTTCAGGTCAGGTGCACACAGAAATATAGTTTCGATAATACTGATATATGCTTGTGTACCAACTGTTGCAGCTAAAATAGGACAGGCCTAATCTATTTGTGGTTCAATACCTGTTTGGGAGTCCAACAGAAGGATATATTCGGCAAAACAGCAAGCAGAACATCGTCCAGCAGATCGATGTACATCTTCAAAACTGCTCCAATTTCTTGCAAGCCAGAGGTCCGCTTGGGTGATGGTCTCAGTCTTGTCCTCATCCCACTCATTGATCAAGAATTGGATGTCGTGGTCAGTGATCTCCAATCCTCTTGCAGCAGATAGGAACCTGGCAGAGAAGAAGGTCCAGAGTTACACAGGCTTTTGTCTCGAGAGACACCCCCGATGCAATGAGATGTTTGTGTGTAGTTCCTTTTTCACCTCCTGGGTTTAATGGGAATGCTCTTATTGAAACATACCGAAACAGGTCCAACTCAGAAGAGTCCAAGTTGGTGGACGTGTGTGGTTTTTCTTCGGGCGGCGGGGCTGTTGTTTTGGTACCAATTTGCAACACCAATGTGCCTCAGGTCACGGTCCGGTGCCAACACGCTGTGCTGAGGCTGCGCTGTTCACGTGTTTCGGCCGCGCCGTGCCTCAAGAGCTCTGGCATCTCCCTCTTGTTGATTCGCCCATCCTCCACAGCGTTCCGCGTGCGCGGTCGCACGGCCACGGCCACGGCGAGAAGGCGAGGAGGAGAGGCCCCGGAGGAGCTAGCAGACGATTTGGAGAAGAGGAGGCATGTGTTCCTGTTGAGAAAAAATACTGGAAAACACGTAGAAGACATGTGTGCACATGTGCCAGAGCAAGACAGTTTGTGTGATTTTGGATGATTCGGGTGACCAGTGGGGCTTCTCTTGCCAAAACCTTTAGCATTATCCTAGCGTTCAAAGACCCTTAAAAGAATTGTTTGTTGACCTTGGTTTTGTAGTCCAAAAACCTCAGTCAAGCAATGATTTTGGTAAAGACAAAAGCAATGGTTCTTGGAATTTCAGGGATTATTATACACTAATGACATGTTCTTTCATAGTTCAGGTCAGGAAAAATCGGAGTCTCCAGTCGATTCTTTCGTCTTCGGGTCGCGCCATATATCTCAACGCACCACCACATATCTCAAAATAGATCAAACCCTGATCGACAACCTACTAGCGATGGCCTCCAACCTAATAGCGATGGCCTCCTAGATCAAAATAGATCAAACCCCGATACCCTGTCACTCCCTGTAATACCCCATCTTGAGGCATGGTAGATGTCTAGCATTCACCTCTAAAAGGCTTGGTCAATCGTCTTTGCCCCAGATGCTCTGGCGTAGGATGCGCCTTCGTGCGACTCTGTTCTGTGGTGAAAACTGACATCCAACCGGTCGTCGCAGACCCCTCCTGGTCGTGGTCATACATGGAAAAGACATCCAACCGGCACTCATCGTCACAGCCCTCCATGGCCAAAATCGCACGCTTGCGGATTTCTCGCTGCCGGCGTTTCACCTGGGATTCCACCCAAGCCCCAAAAAACACGTCCCTCGGAAGCGAATGAAATGTCTGAAAACCCTCAGTCAACCTGAAAGATCCCTCAGCCATCCTCGCCCGCTCCTGACCATGTCAGCATTGGTTCACCATCCATCCAAGACTGATGATTTTTCAATTTTGCAAGTCCTTTTTCATTCATATCCATCTCATCCATCCATCCAAGAGTGATGATTGATTTCGCAGGTCCTTTTTCATTCATATCAATCTCATCCTCATCTTTCTCATGTTCTGAGATTGGCTCACTCCCTAATTCTGCAGAGCGGCGATGCCGTCCGCGATGAGCAACGAGACCCGTGCGATGACTGAGGCGTAGAGCGGCACCCCCACCTCAGGTCTTAGGTCACCAGTCAGCACCCAACCAGCACCCAACCCCTCTCAGGTCATCCATGCTTCGACCGACAGGCATGGGCGGTGTGGTCGTTTTTCCGAAAAGAAGCGCACCCGGTGACCTGGCAGGGGTGTTGGGTGCTGATCAAGTCTTCCAAAAGACCCTCCTTCGGTAGCTGCCCCGGTGTTCTCAGCCAAAACAGACACCCTCTCCACCCCAGCGTTCTCACCGGCATCGCCGCCGGGCCACCAGCAGGTAAATGGAGCAGAAGAGCAGCGACGCCTCATCCGTGGAGTCCAGCCCTGCACGGAAGAACCCGCGTGAGCCACATCGGACCCCTTTTTGTTCCCTTAACAGCGCGCATCTAATGGGCCACTTCGACCTAGAAATCTGCCAAAAGGCACCAGACGTCGTGCATTTGCTTGGAGAGATTGGAGTTTGAGGCGTGAAGGAGTAGTTTTTGTTCATGTTGTGGTGCATTTGCAGCAACGATGAAACCACTTTGTTTGGTTTAACTTGGTTTGACTTGGGAGAAAGACTGTTTAAGTTTGACGCAGCCAAAAGCCAGACCAATCCATGAAACAAATTATGAAACCAGCCAACTGGCCCAAACCAGTTCCTTCTTCCAGGAGGAGCTACACCAACACTCAGAGGTGCGTTTGCACAACAGCAACAAAACACTAAGACAGGAGCCCATTCTGACGTTCGACAAATGAAGTAACACCGGTGCTCCTTGTTCTCATAGGTTTTTTGAAGCCAAAAACATCTTAAAGCCATCTCCAAAACCCTACGCAAAAAATACAAAAATATAGCTACCCAGCACCTTCAAAAAAGAGCGCCGCAAAAACATACCGAACAAAATCTCCAATTCCACATACCCACAGTCGCCGCCCCTTCCGCTCCCCCCGTCGCCACAAGTTGCTGCCTTGGATCCCTACACTGGAGGTGGCGCTGATGGCAAAAAGCGTGGAACGGCTCCAGCTCCAACCTACCAGGGTTCTGGGAAAATTGGAAGTTTTGACCATCCCTCAGATGTTGCATGGAACTTTCTTGACACAAAAAACGACTTACGACTTCCCAGGGTCTCGAATTCGTGTGCGGAACGTGCTCAGGTCTTCAAAAGGCTTCAGAAGAATACTTTTTGACGCTTATGTTCTTCATGTTCTGCAACTATAATATATCAGATTGATTGTGCTACAAGCATTCTTCACATGGATGTCCTGTTTGGCTCTCAATAGCCTCGACAATTCCTTCCCCACCATTGTTGAAGGCCTTCCATCTTTCAAGAAATATTTTGAAGCTCCGGAGTTTTCATGAATGTCACTGTCGTCATTGACTGAATCCTTTTTCCGCTCGCGTTCTCGCACTGGTGAGAACATCTGTTCTCGCACTGGTGAGCACCACATATACGTCCCGGTGTTGGAGCTTTCTCTCCGAACAATGAACAGGTTGGTCGAGTTCCCTCGTACCTTTTTGTGGTTCAAAATCATGAGAAGTGGTTGAGATGGCAGACTAGAGGCCACAAAAAGCGGGCAATATGGAGCATGAATGTTTCGTCTAGCTCATGCCTATGTTGTTCAGGTTGGACTCCCGAACAACCATGATTTTATGAAGAATGCTTGGACTTATCATTACAAAACCCTATCAGCTGAAGCCTTTTCATGGTCTTGGAAGGCTAAGGTGGCTGGGCAAACGAGAGTTTCACTTGGTTTTGCTATTTGAGTTCTCAGGCCCACCTTGTTTCCACCCCCCAACCCTCCTCTGGTCTTCGGTGCAGCCTATGTCGTGTGCTCACCCGCCTGCGTTCGCTCAAACCCACGTAACCCAGTGCCGCGGTGTCCCGCGGTCCGCTCGGCCTTCATGCACTCGACCGAAGGTGATCCCCAAAACCCACCAGAGCACCAGAGGCGCCGCCGTCGGCACACCGCGCGCCAGCGCAGCGCCGCCAGCCTCGCCCTCGCCCCGGCGGCGGCGATCCTCTACGTCCTCCACATCCCAGCGGAGGGGAAGACGCTGGACGGATCGAGGTGAAATCGTCTGAAGCGAACACGAAAAGCTGCCCGTTTCTGATTTGTTCGAAGCTTTCGACTTGATTTGGGATCTTGATGAATGCCTTTGATGTTCGCAGGCTGGCCCACAGGGTGGGCCACAGGTGTCAAAGCGCGCCTCGAGGAGGTCGGCGACGAGGCCACTGAGGAAGTTCACCAAGATGGC